TTTATGATACTATCGACTTTTTCATTACCTAATCTTTAGAAAAAAGTACACATAATACAGACACACACATATATGTATATATGTGTATATGTATGTATGTATATATGTGCACATATATTATATATGATATATATATATATATATATATATATATATATATATATATATATATATATATATATATATATATATATATAAATATAATATATATATAATATAATAATATAATATATATATATATATATATATATATATATATATATATATATATATATATATATATATATATATATATATATATATATATATATATATATATATATATAATGGTTATGCAGAATTATAATTCATATTGTGGTAAGGAAAATCAATTATCTATAAATATTTTACTGACATATGGACAATTATATACATTACACTGAGGACATTGCAAATTATGCCTAACAATAAAAAAGATTAACACAAAAACCCGAAATATATTTTGCTTTGAGCTTGAAGTCAAGAACTGAAGGACTAGAGGAACATGATCTTATAATGATAGAGATCCAAACTTACTACAAGTTTTTTTCTACAAAAGCAGGCCTGTTCAACTAATGTCCTGCATGACTTATCTAAACAAACAAGTACCTGATCACAAGAGGAAAATTCTAACATTCTATGGCACAATCTGAATTTTTTCACAAGATACATATATCACAGCTTGCCAAGAATCATTTCTAGAAAAAATAACTTACTTTCCTCTTTCCTCAAAAAAAGACCAGTACAGTTTAAAGTAAAATGGTCCTGCTATTCACGGTAATATACTTTGTACTCAAGAGCTAAGAATTTGCTCCCCTAGTGCCTGTTTTATGTTTATGGGATGTTTAAGTATGAACAACTGTACATGTGTAATGATTCATGAAAACATAAGAAATTTTGCATTAGCAGTATAAATATACTTCTATACATGAATAATTCTTCATAAAAAAATTATACATTGATATTTCATCCATGCATAGGGTGAATAGTGCAACTGTTGTTGTACTACTCAGTTTCCTGTGCTTCAAACACATTGTCGTACAGTCCATTTAACAAACTATGTACAAATTAAAAAAAATATACTATCTTAAAAACTAGATAAATTATTAAACAACTTCACTGATTTTCTGCTGGAATGCCTTCAATCATAATGATTTTATATCCATTCAACACACTTGTTTAACTCATCAACACTGGCTTTACTGACATTAATCATTCATGATGTATTGTCCAAGTCATGTTACAGCACTCCATGAGGTCTACGTGTCCATTTTCACGTCATGGTTTTCAAAACACAGAGAAGGTCCTTCTACAGATGCAGGAGCCTCTTCAGTGTCTGATAACATCATCATGACATCATCAGCTGTTGAAATTACTTGTACTGGAGATGTCATTAAGCCGTCTGGGTCATCTTGATTCTCATGACCAGCTGGTACGCCTGCTGGAGATACCATCAAACCAGCCATAGGGATTCTAATAAAATAGAGAAACAATGAAATCACTCTGACTACATCAGACACATCAAAATTGTCTAAATCTTGTAAAAAACAAAAATTTAGACTTCTATATTGTTACACATCATAAAGACATTTCAGATTAAAAGAAGTATTATAAAGAACTTGTATGTTCATAGTAGCCTCAGACATTATTTTTTTCAGTTTTATCTTCAACACAGATGCGCAAACTGACAGGGGCAGACAGACAGACTGACAGACAAACACACACACCCCTGCCACACAAGCACGTACAAAAGCATTGATATACACTGTGTTAAACTGCAAACTGTACTTATTTTCAACAAAATATTTTCCATTACACCCTGCATTAAAAATGAAGTTAATGCTAATGTGAGTATGTTTAGCATGTAGGCACTTGTCTGACTACTGATTTTACTATACAATAGAAAATTACTCAAAAGCTAAATGTCATATCTTTTAAAATAATAAATATAAGAAAAACAACATGTGTAGAAACATATATTTTTTTTAATGTCAAAAATATTAATTTTTATCCTTACAAAGTAACCAACCATAAATAAGTTTCTAAAAGTAATACACAATACTTACGTCGACCAGGATATATATCTTTTTTTAAATCTAGATTTATCTCTGCTAATGCACATTGCTGATAAATGTAAGTTGAACGAGTAAATGTAAAACAGGAAAAACAAAATTGTTCAAAAATGATTAAAAAGAAATAAGGAAGAAGCAAAAAAAGAACAAGGAAAAAAAATTAATGAAAAACGTGATTCTACGTGTATAATACTTTCAACTACATTCTCATAATAAACTTCTTTAAAATAATTCCAAATCATGAAACTTTTCCCTAAAGCTCTTAATACTTACTTTAAAGCATAGCTTATTCTACCCAATGTAGGAATAGATAGATGTAAAAGGATCATTCACTGTCTTCTCAAACAAAATGCACTTGCCGTTTCATGCTGACAGAGGAGTCCACGTATCATCTAATGTCTAAAAAAGTGTTACTAATAAAATGCTATCACTGTAATGCAAAGTCCTAAACTTCTTTAGTGTTAAATCTGCCTTCCACTTCCTGGTCTTTAATGCAGAAGAAAAATAATCATCTCTTTTGTACTGTGATCCAATACTGGCTTAATTATAATAATTCTGTAAAATTTAAAAATCACACCATCTGCTTTCAAAATGTCTTGCACAAATGAGCAAACTAATATCAAACAGTTTTTCCACAAGAGATAAAACATTTCCAATAATGCATAAACAACTTGGACTAATCATACCAAATGCTGATATTAGCCCCCAAATAATTTAGCAACAGGATAATCAATCAACAATATATACTAATTCCATACATAAAATAAAACATGAACAGTCAGTGCCTACAAATTACTCGTCGAGCAATTCTATCGTGAAAAATAATATAAACTCTATTCCTACAGGGGGCTAATCATTCTTTTATTTATATAGACCTATGTTTCATACTGATATAGCAGCTAATAATAAAATTCAGAGAACAAAAGTATTAAGCTCAAGTTAATCAATTGTAGAGAAAAAAAAAATACTAACAGAACACTGGGTTGGATGATTCTTACTCTGAAAAGAAAAGGCATTACCTACCTTTGAGGGGAGAGGACATTAACGATTCTTCAGGAGAAAAAATACACAGTCTAGAGAAAAAATGAGATTATGCAATCTTCTTCGGAAAAATCAGCTAGTCTGATGTTAAACGGACTGTCACTTAATTTCTGGGAAAAGGGAAATTACCAAGGCTCATATAAATCTGTACACTAGTAAGCAAATATTATATCAAATATAGGACCATTCCATAGTGTTCTTTAGGAAAAATTAACCAAAAAGAGAACTTAACAAAGGTAGAAATTGAAGTAATTAACAAAAGTTTATGTGGAATTTTTCTAAATATCAAAACTAAAAGGCCACATGACTTTCCAGTCACTTGGTGTAATGTGTGTCCCATATATCTGATCTGTTCTATATGTTACAAGGAATACATGAAACTAAGGATTACCATAAACCCCTGAAATAATCAGGGATTTCATGTAATTGCTGTGACCTCAAGCAAATACAGTTATACCATGTTATCTCAAAAAAAAGCAAAAAGAAAAAGAAAGAAAGAAGAAAAAGAAAGAAAGAAAGAAAGAAAGAAAGAAAGAAAGAAAGAAAGAAAGAAAGAAAGAAAGAAAGAAAGAAAGAAAGAAAGAAAGAAAGAAAGAAAGAAAGAAAGAAAGAAAGAAAGAAAGAAAGAAAGAAAAAAATATATATATACACACACAATATGCTACCCTCTAAATGGTAAAATATATCTGCAGGAAACTGAGATAATACATGAAAAAAATCAGTCACACATTTTACATGAAATCCCTGATCATTTCAGGGTTTACGTGTAATCCCCAGTTTCACACATTCAGTGTAACATATATTTTATTTAATCATCATTACAATCTGATTCATCCTACATAAGCCCTAGCACCTATAAGCACCTATATATAATTTATCATGGTGATTCAATGTATTACTAAAGACAAAGGCACAGAAATATCCTGATCTTCTGAATAACTAAAAGTGGCAAGATACATTTTTCAAAAAAATTATATTAGGAGTCCTTGAAAAATAAGGAATTTCAGAATCTGAACATTTATTGTGGAAACATGCCATCCAGACAAATAAGAAAAGCTGTGGAATGGCCCTGCATTGAGATGCTAAAAACTCAAACAAAATCTGCTATTTACTGCTATTGCTGGGTTGCAAAAAGTGAGAAAATCAAAACAACCTTCTACAAGGTATATACCAACCTTTGGGAAAATTCACTGCTCTCAGTCTCTTCATCATGCAGCAACGCCAGTTTCTCATCTATTGAGGATGCAGGTGAGGTGGGGCTAGAGCGATTGTTCTCCATGGAGCAGTCGCTAACTCGTTCAGAGGAGTCATCACAATCAAGCAATGAAGAATCCTTGAGGACAGCGGTGTCGTCATCTCCTCTGTAGTAAAGAAAACAAAAGACAAGGAAGATATGTTTAGTTTATCTCCAACTGTAACATAGCTCACAAAAAAAAACATATCAAATAAAGGATACCAATAAATCAACATAAAATACTTCAATCTTGATGACAAAACTGAAAATCATTTGTCATATATTGATCCAGTAATGACATCTCAGTAAGATCATGCAGCTTTTGTATGCATTTATATTTAAGCACTCTATATTTTCAGGGCAATACATAACATGTTGATTTCAGTTCTTGTAGCCAGTCTGGGATCTGAAGTGGGCAGTGTCAGTTAGCACCTACAAAGAATCAAACCAAGAACATTTGCCTTGACCAAAAATAATTTTCAATAGGAAAGTGCCCTGCACTCCTCATTCAACATTATTCATATTCCCAAAGTCCAGGTAGAATGGTGTCTGTGTTTTTGCAGATTTATCTAAAGTACTAAGAGGACAGATATCTATGATAAATAACCATGTCAAACAAATTTTCTTTTTCTTTA